TTAGTGTGTTTTCCTCAGTAAGGAATAAGCCCCTGTTTGTAAGCTGTAGTTACTATATCAACTACTTTCCCCCATTTGGCAATGAGGGAAAGAATTACATCTGTCAAACAACTACAGAACACCAACAAGAACAACTATACACAGAAAAAAGGGAAAATAGCTCACTCTTATGTTTACATTAGGAAATTATTTCAAAATAACTCCCAAAATAACTATTGCAAACTAGAGTGTCCACACTACAGGGAAGCCTCAAAATTCATTTGAGGCAGGCTCCTTTAATGTGGATTTGCTAACTATTTCAAAATAAACATTATTCGTTGTGGAAAGCAGGAGTTATTATTTCAAAATAACCAGCCCATTATTTCAAAATAACATGCTTGGTAGTGTGGACACTCCACTTGTTATTTCAAAATAAGGGGAGTTATTTCAGGGTTCTTCTTGGCAAGCTAAGAGCATTAAGGAACAGGGGTTCTGACTGAGGCCAGGCTACAGTAAGAAGGAACTGGGATTCATCAACCCATATGATCTATTATGGCTGCAAACACAGGGAGACAAACCACACACGTATGGGTCAATGGACACTGCTAAGAAAACCTTTCAGCTTTGGTGCACGGTGTACGTATGCACCCACATTTAGGAACGCATATAGACATCCTGACTTGGAAAAGAATTACATATGTTGATGGCAAAATACCCACGAATAAACTGAGCAACTCAATAATAAAAAAAAAGAATGTGCTATTTTCTGTTTCCGAATAGGTGTCTTTCTTTGTTCTTTACATATTATTCTTTTCAGTGAGGCATTTGTTATAAATATTCTATTTGTAGGGAGGGAAAGGATGTTTCAGGTATGTTTGAGGTTTTCTGTTCTCTGCATATACTATTGAAATTGGTGGTTGAGGAGATCCTGCAGAAATAACTTCTGGAACTTTAATTTTTATCATATTTTCCTCTGCATTATTGTTGTGGCTCCTTTTCTTTCTTTCTTTCTTTTTTGAAATAAGATTGAAATTAAGGGAAAAAGGAGAAGTTGGTGGTTTTTTGTTTAATGTTGGGAGGGGGGGTTGGTGGTTTTTTAAAGCTGATGTTTTCTTCTGCAGAGGATACACAAGGACTATGGCTTAAACTAAAATGCTGATCAAATATTTGTGTAGCCTTTTGTTTTGGAAGAAGGCTTAAGTGTGCTGGGATAAAAATCAATAGATTTATGCTTAGTACTTTATAATCTCACATTGTTTCACATCAGGTGGGGAATATATTCTATATGGATATGGGGAACTGTAAGGAAACCTGCTAATTACTGATCTCTCTTACCATCCCGCTGTGCTAAACTGTCTGGACATGTTAAAGTGAAATTTTTCTGTGATTTTCAAGTGACTAGTTCATGGCCCACTGCCATGGAGTGAAGGAGAGGAGATGAAATGCTTTAGTTTACATGCAACATTTACTGACTGTGTGGGTTTTCCGACATTAAAGAGGGGACAGTGACCCATGCCACCTTTTTCACACTCAAAAGAGCACTGAAAAAACAGTCTTCATAGGCTTACCTCAGGCTTCTCTGGCCCTTAACACCCTCCCCCCAGGGCATGAGCAGAAAGAGAAAAAAGAAGGGATTTTATGCTCCTTTCTCTTCAACTTTTCAGGCTGTATAAGCAGCATTTAGCAAATTCAGCCCCCAAATGGCTCCAAATGCTCTGAGCTGCAGGGGCTCATCCTTTGTTAGCCTCCCTCTATTTACACAGGATTTACGCAGGCTCTCCACTGAAGAGACCACATGTTTCTGACAGAAAGCACTTCCATTCACACCGCATCAGGCAACAGGATTGTAACCACTGCAGCTTCATGCTGACCTGAGATTAGGGATTTCAGCAACATTGAGATGGTAACAATCTGCTAACTAACAAAAATTACCCATGGAGAACTCTGCTGCTTACGCCAGTTAAAACTACCATGGCCAGATAGATGAGGCTACTTAAAAGAACAATTAAAAACTAGCAACTGTCAAGAAAATGTGTGTCCACTTACAAATAATTTACACATAAAATGTAATGTTAAATGGAAAATCAGACTGCAGCTTGGATTAAAACCACTTCACCCACTGGCTGGAGACATAAAGTGTAAAAACAGACAGATGGACACATATGTAAATGTGGCTGCATTTTTCCCTAGATCTGGCAAGTTAGTACACTAGTATAATTTAATAATTTCCCATAGTATTTTTACTTTGATTAACAGATCCAAAACAACATTCTTGCAGTACTACAGGAAGAGACTCTTTACTGTGAATCTGCTTGCTCTGAACACTGCCCCACAACCAAACTATAATTATGAGAGCTTTCTAGGCCCCACCTATTAGGAGTCAATCTTGAAACCTGATATCCTGCTGGTAATTTTGATTTTAACTTGGTTTGGTCAGTCAGTATTTCTGTGCCAAGGTTTTTCAAATTAAATATAAACATACACAAGAAAAAGGTTTGTGGTTATGAAGCTTGTGGTTTCTATTTAACAGTCCTTTCTCACAGAGCAATAGAAAACTAGATTTTTAAAAAGTTTTGTTATGTTAATGCCATGAATTGCTTTGGCTCTGCAGCAAAGGACAAAACAATTTACTTTTGTAATAGTCTGTAACACATACGTGCATCTGACAAGCACATATAAAAGTATATAGTGTATTCTAAAGTTCTTCACACTACATCATAATAAAGCTCTTCAGGGCACTCTAATGATTCATTTTTAGTGATCTCTCAAATGCCCTTATCCACAGTTAACACTCAGATTTTATTAAGGAGGAAAGCAGGGACAAATGTCCACTTAAGTCCCAGCTCTCAAATTCAACTCTGCTTGCACTGCACTACCTAAAGCTAAAGCTTTTTTAATGTTCTATTCACCTCCCCTGTGTGGCATTTCGGCTAACACAGAGTTCGCAATCTTTCAGCCCCAAACACAGAAGGCTGCTATCTTCAAGTCATCCAAGGAATGTGCCAGATACTATCATTTCTCCTTCAATACAAAGAACCAGAGAGAGAGAGAGAGAGAGAGAGAGAGACCACAAGAAGATCATAATTATCAGGTTACTAGTGTCCAGAAAGCCCTTCCCAGAATGTTAAATGTTTGAACCTGCAAATGTTATCATTAAGATACATGAAGATGAGGAAAAAGCTTGCCGGAGACGCTAACAAAGGGAATACATTTGAACTTGTGGGTCTCTTTTGCCAGGGCCCAGTATTGCAATTCTCACTCTGGCAAAACTGCCAGTAAACATTCCTTATTCAAGGAAAACTGACTTTTGCCTCCGTAAAAAGTGCAGAGCCAGACCCTTGTCTTGTTCAACCAAATGGAAATATGGGCACTGCACTATTCCTAAACAGAGACACATATTAAAGCCTGTGGTTTATTATGATTTATGATTCTCTTCCCCTCAAAAGTGAAACTATTGCTGTGGAGGGAAAGTGCTCAGTGACTTTGCTTATATACTGTTAGCATTGTTTTTTTTCCCCCTCAGCACAAATTGTGAAATTTGTTCATAGTTTTTGACACCTATTCTGGAAGAAAACATTATTAAATTATCATCTAAGTATTCTGCCTCCATTAAAGTAATTATTTTCAAGTAACTGAAAGTAAATATCTGTTATGCTGTTTAAATTTTAATATTGCTAAATATGGTCACACAAAATGTCCTTCTGCTGCTGTCTAAATGGAATTACCTTTAAATTGCTCCTTTTTTCTAGCCATAGAGTAATACTTTTAGCATTCTCATAGTAGTGCAGCTAAGAATACTAGTTACAGCCTCTGACTCAACGCGTCATTAAACAATCCAAAAGGCAAAATCCAGACCTGTTTGCAAAAAATATTTAGTAGTTTTTCAAAAGTTAATTTTATTTACTCCTGCTCCTCCCCATACAAGTTCATATTGTTAATATTCAGTGATAATTACACTATTAATCCTTTTTGTTTTAGTATAAATAAAATTACTTCAGTCAGATGTACATAGTTAACACCCAAGTGGGTATAAATTAAAAAGCTTTATTTGTTTTTAAGTAACTATCAGCTTTTTATTTCTGATTTCTTAGTATCTGTGTCATCAGTAATATCAAAGAATGTGGGCAGAATAAGTGCAATTAAAATTCTACCTGTAGCTAAAGCTACCTCGTTATGGTTAATGACACCTCATTAATAATTAATCTTTAGCAATTTGCAACTGTTATTCATAGACAAACGCATGCTTTAGGTATTTTTTAATAACTAATTTCTAATTTCTAATACTCAAAATTGTTTTTCTTCATCAAGCCGTAAGTAGTTTTTTAACATCATTTTTCCTACAGTTTTTGTAAAACTGAAACAATGGAACATTTTAATGAAGTTTCCAATAGACAACACTGATAAACATGCTGTTGGATACAAATGCTATGTTTTTGAATAGTCAACCCTCTTATATCGGTTCCCACTAATACTGCTGTAGTTAGTGGTCTATCAATGCTCCCATTAGAAACCCCTATTTGTAGGGGTTTATTACTCAGCTATAAAAATTTGCACTAGCTGAAATGTCACATAAAAGAGCTCAGCTTCAGAGCAATTTTAAAGCAGATTTTAAAACCCTGTTAGGAGTGGAAATGTAATATAGAAATTTACCCCTTTAAGATGCTTTCCCCTCCCCATTCCTTTAACTCCAAATACTTCAGCTATTAAAAGGACATTTGTCAGACCACGAGTCCATAAAATCCTCTTTTGGGATTTATAAGAAAAAATGAGAATGGGTGAATATTAAACATTTAAAAAGTGGCAACCGTGCATTAATAGGAACAAGTTATAAAAGCTTTTGCCATGCACTCTCTAAGGTTAAATGGTACACAAATGTGTATGTAATTCATAATACAAATAAGATAACTAGTCTTCATACATATTCACAGCAGATACCCTAACAGCACCAAAGAAGATGCTTCCTGATAATGTATATTAAGAAGAATACAAAACAACTCCAAACTTTGTATGATCTTACATACCATAAGAGCTCCAGCACTTATGCACAATGGGGTGGATTAACCCTCTGGGTGCTGCAGACATATATATACACCTCCTCCTAAAGTGTTCATTTGGTTGGCAGTCTGGAAAATGCCAGAATGCGAAGGGTTAAGTTGGAACACTGACACTCTGCTCTTGTAGGTTTATGTTAAACCCTTTATATTTTAAACATAGTTTTTGTGGTCTAAGTAATATATTATTTAGCTCTTAATAAGACGGGGCCTGATCCAAAGAGGTCCATTGATTTCAGTGCACTTTGGATCAGGCCCACAATTATTCTGAGTTAGGAGGCCCAAAATGTTTCCAAAAGACTGATTGATAAAGTATGAAATACATATCTCAATCGCATACATGTATCAGATATTTTTAAAATGGCTATCAGAGTAACCTAAAATGCAAGTTAAATACACCAAAGACTTTTAGGAACAAGTATTCAAAAATGGAAGCATGTAGGGTCTGTTCATTATTAACGACTTTGGGAACTAGCTTCAGTCATGAGGAGAGACATGGCTAAGAATTCCTTAATTCATATAAGCTACAGAGTTTAAAGAAGCACGTAGGCAGATACAAGGACACTGATCAACAAGCTGCAGGTATTTCACATTGATAACCACTTTGCCAGTCAGACTCAGAACCAGGTCATCTTCCTGGTGCTCAGTAAATTCAATGAATTATTTCAGCCAGGTATGGCAGAGACAAGAGGGAGAGAGCAGATCTCTGACCCACTCCGCTAGCACTTAGCTGTGGACTTCTTTGAGTTGTCAGCCGAAACCAGAACAGAGGAATGACACACAGTTCAGTAGAAACACTGGGAATTGATGGATTTTTGACAAAATCTTTCTGGGAATTGGGTTTGGAAAATGAAAGTCAGGGCAAAAGAATGGGAAAATAGAGAGGATGTAGGGCACTAGTTTGCTTTAAGTATTTAAAAACTCATAGCTCAAAACAAGGAAGGACAAAGCCACTTGGGACCTGGTGCTCTGCTGTGCCATACATAAGCCTGCAATGTGATTTTGAGTCACAGAAGAAGTGGTATTCAGTGCCAGGGTTGTTGGATAGTGGTAGAAATGTAGCCGTGTTAGTCTGGTGCAGCTGAAACAAAAAACAGGACTGTGTAGCACTTTAAAGACTATGTGGCCCCTCTCTTTGATTAAAATTTAAGGTTCAAAGCCTATTTCGTCTAGTCCCCTTTGTATCAAACAGTATTAGTTACAAAGTGGGGCCTCAAGTGTACAAAACTAGGTAACTTATAGAGATTTCTCTTTCCTCAGTTTCAAGAGGCTAAAAGTGTGTGTCTTACCCAGGCAAGCTTTTCCTAGGTTCATCTAGCCTATTAGAAAATGGACATCTGTGCCATATGATCAGATCTAAACCCTACCAACCAAGAAGCAGTTTATGTTAAATAGGCTGATGCAGCAAATTTGCAGATCTTGATCACACTAGGCAAGGGAGTCATTCTTCTCAGTGATAAAGTCAGTGAATGCACTCTTGAGGAGATAAAAAATTAAGTACCAGCTGACTTTGCACCATTTGAGTGAGGTATTCACTGCTGACCAAGTACAACAGAATTGTCATGTTCTGACACCAGGTAGGAATCACTACCGAAGTCAGGGCGACTGATGCCTGCGGAGTGCGGGGTGAGGGGGTGGGGGTGGGAGAGAATGGGATAGAGCCATCTAGAGGGGCAGGGAAGGAACATACAAGGGCACCCCTTTTAGCAATTAAACTTTTGGCGGGGGCACGGTGGGGTTGGTACACCTCATGAGTGCTACTACGAGTAGGAGTATTTGACTCTGATTTGTTTACTGCAAGATTATTTAGAAAAGCAGCTTCTCCACTGGTTAATTGTGTGCAATTTGCAGCTTGACAATGCATCATATACACTTATAACTGACATTTGCAAGATACTTTATACAACACCAGTGCCCCCCCTTATAAATTCCTCATAGTTCTTATTGTCATCATTTCCCATTAAGATCTGATAGTCAATAGAAGCAACAGAACCCTTTACACGCAGACATAAAGAGAAAACATTTCAACTTGATTTTACTATCTCAGCTTTTTAAACATTTGTGTCATTTATACACCAGATAGTAATCACAAAGGATCTGCAGTATTGTCTAGTATAAGACAACTGGGTTCTATTTCCTTCTTTGTCACTGATCACTTAGGGTGTATCTACACAGCAGGGCTCAACTCGAAATAAGCTACTCAAATTGAGCTATGTCAATTGCGTAGCTTATTTTGAAATTGAAATTGGGAACATCTACACAGCATTTATTTTGAAATAGAGCACTCTTCCTCTGACTTCCCTTACTCCTCATCCAACGAGGTTACAGGAGTAGGAATAAGAAGTCCTCCAGCTTGACAGCATTTCAACATTATTTCAAAATAACTGCCTGCTGTGTAGACACGGACGAAGTTCTTTTGAAATAATGCTAGTTATTTTGAAATAATATTTCTATGTAGACGTACCCTCAGTGATTAAAATGGAGAGATTTCCAAAGTGCCCAAGTGAATTAGGAGCAGAAGTTCCCCTGAAAAATCTTCTGAGAGGATCGCGGGCAGCAATTAGTAATACTGTTATTATTATTTATTATTATGTCAAGTATGCCAACTCATGTATTTCTTGTCATCTGCATTTGGTCCATCTTATCTCTGGGCTTATCTTGCTTGTTCCATATTTATTGAATGTGTATACTGTACAAATATTTTCTCGTGTTTGTCTCAAATTGCACATTTAAGGAAAATTTAAAGAATGATTTTATTTTCTCTTTGCCCTTAGATAAGCATTAAGAAATAATATAGAAATAGGCTGTATCTACATTGGCACCCCCTTTCTGGGGTTTTACCAGAGAAAAGCGCCAGTCTAGACGGGATCTTGCAGAAAATAAGCCCTTTTCCGAAAGATCCCTTATTCTCCGGCAAAACCCCGAGCCGGAAAAAAGCGGCAGCCATGTTCATGCAAATGCCGCAGGGGATATTTAAATCCCCCGCGGTATTTGCAATTCCGAAGTGTCTCATTAGCATCCCTTTTCCGGAAAAGGGTGCCAGTGTAGACACAGCCAATAGAGTATAAATAAGCATTGGTAATGGAGATATGTAGACCCAAGCCTGCCTAATTCTGTCTCCACTCAAGTAAATGGTAACCTTTGCAGTCACTTGAATAAGACCAGGAACATGCCCAAAGATTGCAAATTCATATCTTCTATATAAAAGATAGCAGACACATTTCACCCATTTTTTAGATCAAATCTTGAAGTCCTTACACCATTTTGACTCAGCCTTTATTCAGGCTCAAATCCCATTGACATCAGTGGGCATTTGGCCTTAATAAAGACTGTGTAAAAACTGTTTAAAAACCCGGTCCCATTGAAGTCAATGGCAGAACTTTCCTTGGATGTCATTCTTTACTGCAATGTACCTTGCGCTGTCATATGCTTTTCTGCAAAGAGTGTGTACAATGCTTCCCGTAGAATTTAGATTGGTAGCATTTCATCCCCACTTTAGAGATGTGTCATTGATTATGCAAGGTGGAAAGCAATTCAGGATCAAGCCCATTAACGTTTCTTGCAGCAGGAGAAGGCCTTTAACATTTACCAATAATCATTTTTCAATTCTGCATGACAAAACCACTAATATGACTATGACCCCTCTCTGTATTGTATTATATGTAGCATGGTTGGACACACAACTTCTCCATATCTGTGTGTGAACGAGGGAAATAATTTATCTCTGCATGGCTTAATGAGGCCTTAGATGTCAAACACCTCTTTTTTTTTTGTAAAATCGGTGTAAATCAGTTTATTTAGTTTCTCACAGAAATTGATTCATCTAAATGACAAAAATTATAAAGAACCAAAATCAAGGAGGTGGGGAAGCCATCCCTTTCTCTTCTAACAGTGCTACTTTCTGATACCCATGGTTGCATTTCTCTTATGTGATAAGGTTTGGTAAATAATGAAGGCCTGGGACTACCCTTAATGGTTCACAGGTTGTAACTCCACAGCAGCACCACCCCAACTATTACTGTAGAATTAGCTGACAATCCTACTAGTTTTAAAACAAAACAAAAAAATCCTAACTAGTCCCAGAGGATAGTCAGGTGATGTGGAAGTCTTAAAAATACCGCTGTCTCCCACAGCTAGCCTTTCTATACTCTTATCCAGCACATTGGGACTTCTAAATTACATACCATAATTGACATCAAATATCTGTCCCATCAGTGAATATCTTTATTAGCATCAAAATCACTCACAACTAGTGTTCTTCAATGTTATTAAACAGAACTTGTTCTAGGTGTTGCCTTACTAATTAGTCAGGATGAGCCCGAGGAAGAAAATCTGGGTCATGTTAAATTAATTGGAATGAGCATGAAAATTAGCAGAGCAAACTGCATCAATTTTCTATAGAGAGCCTTTCTTCATGTTGAGAATAAAAATGGATATTATGAGGCATTAACCAAACTGCCTTCTGTGACTGCCAAGAGGTGTGTTACAGTAGCCCAAAAATATCATGCTCACAGATTTTTAGAAGTTAATGAGACATTTCCAGGAATGGTAAATACATGGTGTTAAAATGGGTGTGCCTCTTATGGGAAAATGCCAAGTCATTTCATGTTTATTCAGGCATAACAAGCTCTTCAAAATGAGCATAATTTAAGAGGTGAATAGTGCAAAGAGGGCTAACATTCAACTAATTTTCCTTAAGAAAGAAAAGATTAAATTGAACAAAAAATGAATTAAGAGGTTTACAAATCAACAAGTCAACCATCAGACTGCAGCCTCTGCTCAGTATATTCTCATCAGCCCCTGCCATGAAGTTTTCGAAAAATGTCCCGAAGGCAGGGAACAAAGCGAGCAGAACTGATTACAGCCACACTCACCGCCTTGCTGTCTAAACTCTGTTTGGCTTCCTAATGAGCTCACTAAAAACCTAATTCATCTCCCATAACCCTTCTCAGCCCTCCTTGAAATTCACCATTATGGAAATTACAGATGAAACATTTACAGGCTGTGTTCAAATTACTGCTTCTTCAACAGGCAGGTCCCTGACCCTCACAATGAACACAATAGAGGTATGT